AAAGATGTATGATGATGGATTATTGCGTATCGCTTTAAAATTAAACGAATGAAAATTTTCACGAAAGACAATGCCCATCTTCAGTCGTATTGTAATCGTATAAAGAAGTCTTGCTTATATGGGTGTTGATGGTGTAATAAAAAGAGTTATTGTTTCGTTATTGTTCTAAATGTTGATAGTGCTAATGTGGTTGTTGATGATTTGCACAGCTGGTGTTTCTTTTGAAATGAACACAAATGTCGACTGTATTTGGTGTTTATATGACCTACAAGTGAAAATTTATGAGTCAAGCACAATAACGTATGCTGTGTTGGGTCTCTGACATCGAGCACTTGAGTATGATTTTGCATTACCTACACACTTGATCATACAAAACAACTCTGGTACAGAACTATTGCAGAGGATATTAATATTGTACATCACCATATGTGATTTAATAGCATAGGTGCTGCTTCACTTCTGCTTTTATTCGGAGAAAACAGATGAATGATGCACTTCATCAGACGGTGGAAACAATGATAGTGATGACCGTACGACAGTTATGACCTTTTCTCATTTGGATTTGTTATGCGAAAAAGGCCGGAATCAAACGAAAGCTTCTTTAGCTAGCCAGTTGGCTTTGATCAATTCTCTCAAATGCAACTACAATTCTAATTCATCAAAAAATCATTTCGGATTGAACAAGCTGACTTGTGCATAAATAACGGCTTTAGAATTGAAAAGATAGACAAGTTGTGCCAAGCGTAGACGGCAAAAAACTGTGAATATGTAAGAAAGAGTTAAGGAAGGTAAACTAAACAGAAAGGTGAGTAAATAATCGAATAAGTACAAACAAATGAATAAACAATCTGTTAAGTTTTCTGAGAAGATTTCAAATTTCTGATGATTTCTCTTACGATTAGCTTGTAACTCTGAATTACCAAAAAATTCCAATGTTTTCATTCTAAGAGTTGAAATGTTCATTGAATTTTCAGTCTGATCGTGAATAGAATGTTTAGTAAATTTTCAGTTTTATTCAAAAAATCTAGTGAGTTCAACCTCTGGAACTCTTTTACCGCGCTTACAAGTAGAGCATTCATAGTTCAAATGTTTATCAAATGTGTCGCATTTAAGATCTGATGCTTGGTGTACAAAAAAAAATCTGATAAAAGGCCAACTGACTCGTTTGTTGCTATTGTAGATGGACGTTGAGGAAGAGAGACGATGGAATGCCTGCGAGAAGACTGCACTTACGGGACGTCTTCTACGTTTCAGTGGGGGATTTATTTTCGTTGAATCTTCGTTTTTGCCGATACCACTTGCAGCATCCACTGCATTTTCTTTATTGCTGAACAGTTCCGAGTTCATTCGTGATTTGCTACTTAAATGTCCTCCAAAGAGACGATTCAGCAAAGCCGCCGATGTACATAACGGTCGTTGTTTGGTGGTGACTGGAGTGGCCATCAGAGGAGTCACTCGGTCGGTGGTTCCATTCAAACAAGCTTTACTCTCCATTACGCTACCTTTCGCAGTGTCTGAACTCACATTCGATGCAACGGTGTCAGTTTTGCCGATCCGTGTACCTTTCGTATCGGTAATCAACAAAGGAGTCGGATGGCTTTGAAGAGAGGCTGGATTCGAGTCGATGAGAATCGTCGACGTGCGATTCGATGAATATCGGCGATTACCTGGTGGTGGCATAACACCGCTGTTGATGAAACGTTGCGGGGTGATTATGGATTTGGATTGCGGTCTTAGCTGGTGTGGTTTTTGAGGTACGAGTTGATCGTTGTGTTGCTGAGGTGCGATCGAGCGAGATGTCATTGCGGCCGCTTGAAATGCATTACCCAGAACGGATTCTATCTCTTCAACCTGAAACTTTTCGTTCATAACTGGTCATTATTTACACGGAAAATTCTCTTAACTGCTANACATAAGAGAACTGAGAATATGAATACGGGATTAACAGCTGGTTGCGCTACCCACAGATAAGCAGCATTCACAGATAATCTCTGGTTCACTTATTTCTATAAGTGAATATTTGCTGAACTCTGAGAGTTAATGATATCACCTATGAGATTAAATCCAATCCCATTACTAATTCAGTATCGTGCAGCCTTTGCAATTTCCGTTTCACATTCAAAACTCCCATCCATTGTAAGAGAACATTGACGCCTAACTGTTACATATTCTTCATAAAACACCCAATAAACGCATTCGCTGTTTCCTTAAGTTGTTGAACGTTAGTTAGTACGATCTGAGTATTCCATTAGCTATTAAAGAGGAATGTTGATCTTATGCGGCAGATTAGAACCGACCGCAAACAGAAACTACGATTTGGAATAAGTAACAATAAATCTCAGTCAGTTAGTCCAAAATTTGTACACTAAATGATTAACAGTCAAGCAGTTGACGTATTGCACTGTAGTGAGCAGCGCCCTCAATGATGAAAGCAAACGAACAAACTGAATTACTTCTCCTAAAGCTGAATGACTGTTAGCATAACACTAACTCTGAGAGGAGAGCTTCGAACTTTTCATGAAAAGTAAACAAAATAAACGAAAAATGAAGAAATAGAGCCATCTGAAAAAAAAGATAAATGGGATGTTGGAGAGAAACGTAATTGGATAACTTAAGAACGAAGATTAGAAACTAAATTGAAATCCAAAAAAAAAACTTTTAAAAGGATGCAGACGATTTTGAGCACTCTAAATACTAACATAAATTTTAGTGTGGATTTAGCTACCAATAAATTAAAGGATCAATAATTTCTTAAATAATAAAGAATGCAAGTTTTAAGGAATGGCAGATAAATCATTGTTGTTTTCCTTACTTCTCCTTATATGTCAATAAAATTGGCTTCAATTTTTCGAGTTCAAAAAAGTTTTCAAATCCACAATTTTTTTTCTGCTGCGCTGTCAAAAATCTTATTGCCTTTTGCGCTCTGATTCATTTTCTCTGCATTTCTTCCTCGACCATCTTGAGGCACCAAGTAAACTATTCAGAATTGATCTTTGCTCATTCAGTTGAGTTCGNTGAGTTCGATCGTTTACCCAGGCGACACGACACGTATTCGTCAAGATTATTGAATTGATTATATTCTCTCGAGGTTTGGATAGCAGACTGGTTTGATCGAAAGTGCATTACGAGATGAATGAAAATGTGCAATTAGTTCACACTAACTTACTTGATTTCACTATCGTTTTTACAGGCAAATCAAAAGA